TTTATACCCTACGCAATTAATTTTTATTTTTACCATGTTAAGAAAAATTTCAATTTTGATTTATATTTGTGTATATTCATTTTCATTTCATTTTTCCGGTTGTATGGAGTGCAGTGGTATCAAAGTTTTTCAGCCATAGATTAATAGAATATCACTTTTCTTCGCAAATTGTCAGAATTTGGAAGGGTGTAAGGCAATATAGCGAATGTATTCATTATACTTAGGTTTCTGATATCGATAAACTCCTTAAGTATTTACTATTATMTTGTAACCACTAACTTCGTTTGGTCCTAAAATATACTTCACAAATACAAAAGATTTCTTACAAGCACTTTGATCGGTTATTTTGTACGGCAGCCATAACCTATGATTGGCCGACATTAAGAATGTTTACATATTATATCTTRTAKTGTGGCTTTGGGCAATTATTAGTACCAAATTTCGTGAAGATATCTCGTCAAATGACAACGTTTTCCATATAAGCAMTTTATTCASRTCRTTCAGTTTGTATGACAGCTATATGTTATAGTGGTTCGATATCGGCCGTTCMGACAAATGAACAGCTTCTCGACAAGAAAAGGAAGAAAATGAGAGGTCGATATTTCAAAAATTCAGGGACTAATTCGTATATAAACAGATAGACCCACGTGGTCTCTGAAGTTAGAGCGGGTCGATTTACAGGCTGCCAAAAAARGCATAAATCGATTATGCGGAAAGTGTTTTACGGTTCATTCTGAACAACATTGCATATACAATTATGGATTCACAACCGTTTTCGAACCAGCATTTTTAAGGCAAAGTTTTTAGTATTCATAAAAGTTTGCTTGGCAGTTTTTGACGCTGTCTCTTATACACATCTAGATGTGTATAAGAGACAGGGTGTAGTAGAAACTAACCGATTAGAAGCGATTATTTAGCTTGAAGTTCGTATAGTCCATATCTGGATGTTATACGTTGTTTACTTTAAGTAATTTTAAGTCCATATTAGTCTAAAACATATGATTCGATAAACCTGCGTGAGTACAAAGAACTTGACWAGCTTGCCAAAGGGGGTGATGCTCGAAAATTCTACGAAAAAATGCGGCGACTAACAGAAGGTTCCAAGACCGGAGCATGCCTCAAAGCTGATCTGGTGATTGATGCCCAGAGCATACTAAAATAAACTGATTGGACATTATCAGTGTGGCTTTAAGCCTGGAAAACCAACAACCGACCAGATATTCAACATGCATCAAATATGGAAAAAGACCCCTGAAAAGAGGATTCACACACATCACTGCTTCGGCGATTTCACAGCTGTTTTTGACAGCGCGAAAAGAAGCTGCCTTCAATCTATTCTTGAAGAAAAATAATTCRAACTGCAGAGCTGAATACAGAAGGTAAAATCTTCTACAAGYGTGTACGACTGCTGACCAAACTCTATAAGTCACTCATTATTCCCGTCCTGCTATATGGTGCMGCAGCATGCACGATGGCAACATCTAATGAATCGACGGTACGACGTTACGACGTTCGGGAGAAAGGTGCTGCGGAAGTTTTATGGTCCTTTGGCAACGGCGTATTCGTATATCGTATTCGATGGAACGATGAACAGTACGAGTTGTACGACAACATTGATACAGTACAGCGAATTAAGAGACGTCGGTTACGCTGGCTAGGTCATTTCGACTCCAGATCTGAAAATATTCGACGCAGTACCCGCTGAGTTAATCAGAGAAAAAGCAAGATCTTCACKTCGTTAGTAAGACCAGGTGGGGAAGGAGCTGGTTACACTTGGAATCAACAAGAAAGGAGGGCGCGCTGTTGGAAACTAGCCTATAACCGGCGGTGTCTACGTCAATAAAGAAGAATAAGAATGCTTTGGTGTAGGCACTTAAAAAGCGTTTCAGGATTTTTAATTATTCTTTCTTGGGTGAAATTAGAAATACGTCTCTTGTTCTAAGCCCCTCCTAGGCTGTAATGCAGCTTTTTCTTTCTTCTACTTTTTGCCGAAGTTGTTAAATAATTTGAAGTACATTTTAGAAGCGCCCAAAATCCCAACATTATTTTATGAAGTTTTGTGAAATCCAATATGAAACCTTARATAAAAATCGTTTTTTCTTCAACTCCAAACCTCAAAATAATTGCCTTACACCTCCCTTATTCTAAAATAACGTTAACTAATATTGTTAATATTTTTTTTAATCTAAATGTAGGTATTTAGTAAAAAATATATATTTACTTGTGTTTAAGAGTTGTGTCCTCGAGTTTACTGGTCAACGTTTTGCATTCGCTAGTTAATTTATCCATGAGTTGCTTCTGACTCTGTATCATATCCTCAAGTTCATTTACCGTTTCGACTTTTTATACAAAGATAAAACAAAAATTGCAATATTTAATTAAGTTTGATTAATTTTTAATTATGTTAAAGTTGAATGAGTCAAATGTATGTAATGTGTTAATTTGAATTTCACAAATTTTACTTTACGGAAGTGATTTTGCTTTCAATTTCGATTAGCGCTACGCCAAACTCATGGATAAACTATTGACTTTCGCTGATTGCATTTGAAATTTACTCAAGTCCAATCAAATAACTATTCTTTGCTAACAATGAGGTTATGCATTAGTGTTGCCAATGTCATTAAAATAGTATTAAATATAACGGATTTAATTTGGTTTTTAAGTAAAGTCTTCGAATTGAAAATGTGACACTTTGAACATTTACAGAAGCCAAATCAATAGCTTACCCAAGACGAAACTGCATAAGGAGTAATAACGGTGCATTTTACTAAATATAATTCTAAGATATGTACATAATTTAAATATTTATTTGCTGATTGTGCTGGAGTGATATATGAAATACTTTTTACCAATTTATTATTTTAAACTATTAATTAAAATATTTTTCAGAGCAATCTTTTTTTGTTTCTTGTACTTTTTTCAAGCTTCTAGTATCTAATTTCATAAAAACAAGAAAAATAGCTTTCGAAAATACAAAAGTTCCTTAAAGAACTCTGATCGATCAGTTGTATGACAGCTGTATGCTTTAGTTATCCAATCTGAACAATCTATTCGGAGATTATAATATTGCCTTAGACAATAATCCTTATCAAATTTCTTGAATATATCTCGGCTTTTTTGTGAGAAAAGTACTGACGCAAAATTTCAGATCGATATCGAAAAAACCAAGGGACCAGTGCGCTAATATACATATGACGGACAGAAAAACGAACAGGCAGGTGGGCAAGCCTAAATTGGATCAGCTTGTCAGCTTGTTATATATACAATTTATATTATTTATAACTGTCCATTCCTTTTGGATACTAGGTATGATTATGTTAGATGACTGATCCTGTGAATGGCGAAAAAATCACACTTAGATTGCTGTGGTAGGTTCTTTGTGAAGCCAGATGAAAAACTTCTGTGATTGGATATGAGCTATCGACAAAACACCTTGACCCTAATCACAAATCTGCTTTGGCGTTTTATATATATTTTTGCGATTTCACCTGGATGTGTGAAAGTATGAGATCCGACGTGTTTCTGCCTTGTTTTGCCAAAAGCGGGACATGTATGGAGTAAATATTGAGATGATTCTCTATCATCTACTTCCAAACTTCTTTTACTGTATGAATCGAGATTGGAGAATGTCCAGTCAGGACTACTACTACCATTGAAGGGTGACCCTTGCTGAGAGCAAAAAGTTACRTATACCTCTTGCGATTTACCCTAGGCCAGAAAGATCTTGCGACTGCACAGTTGGTAGTAGTGGCCCACGCTTGCTKCACTTTCTTGAAGAAGACTAACAGTTCAGCAGTGAACCAGAAGAAGCCAACGAAGCTCCTACCCATTCCCAATAYGAAGTTGTTGAAACTGAAGTATCTACCCTAACAAGCTCATCAACTCTAAAAATTCTGCAATGCTCAGAAAGCCTAAAACTAGAGATTGGGCATTACAAACTTCGTGGCCAACTTAATATACCCAGAGTATAAAGGATCGCATATTGAGGTCGATAAGCCCGCAAACTTTTTTYACTCGTTTGCGACTATTTCTCATATCTACAAGACGATCCTTAATGCTATGAACTATCGTTCTCCACAAATTTCTGTAATCGTGTTACCAAGGGGTTTAACATRATTTTATGACTATTTAGGCGCTGGGGTTCGTTGACAGTAAATTTGCTCTATCGAAATGAAATGATGCGATATAAGGATTCAAGCTGATTTCAGGTAGAATATAGAACTAAAATTGGCACTTCGCAACTAACGTATGAAAGACGAAATAGTCAATGTCGAACTCAAAGGTTTCATATAAGTATCGGACAAATGACTATCATCCATTAATATAATTCCAAAATTTTTTTTAATGGTTTTGTTCTAAGATTTCTTGATTTTTAATCATCATACAGTCTGAAATATATTAGCTGAGTTTAAAATTAGGAGAAAGAGAATGAAAAACATACTCTTGTAAAGACATAGAAGAACAACACTCTGCCGAACAGCTCTAAGAGAATCACTTTTGTATAATTACTACTCATTGAGTATCAAAACAATTTTTAGTACGTTTTCTAAGAACTGAATTTGTAATAAAATAAAAAGRTGCGAATTWGGAATTATTTGATGCTTRAAGAGRTAAAATCTTTAYCTAACGAAATTTAKTATKAACAGATTTTAAGCTACAACTTTACTCACTACTAATCAATTCTATACATTGCTRSTACATTCTACATAAGGTGCATAWATACTGTTTCTATGAACTTKAGAAAAGAGCTTCAAACTACCAAAAGTCTCACCATGCTTCTCCTGCATTTCGGAAATACGTTTATCTAAATCCTTTTTGGTGGGACGGATTTCATTTTTCATTTCRCCATAAGCCAGCTGAAAAGCAGCAAATCAAAAAATTATTCAAAATAAGAATATCATGTTATCACAATTTAACTTGCCTCCTTCTCCAAATTGGCGATCTCATCGTTGAGACGTAATATTTCGCGCTTGGAATGCAGTAAATCAGCATCGCCACGATCCAAACGCTGTCGCAACGATGTTATCTCGGCTGTCAGACGCGTCGCCTCRGTTTTCGCCTCACGCGCCGCACGATCCAATTGTAGTCGCAATGCCGTGATCTCTTGTTCCAACGATTGCTTTTCCGCATTCACTTGCGCCATATCGGCGAGGAAGGTATTGCGATTGGAACGCAACTCCATCTTCAACTCATCGATCTGTGCATTGCGATTCGAGAGATCACGCTTCATATCATTTGCATAGCGTTTTTCACGCTCCAAATCCAACTGCAATTTGGCCACCTGCTCCCACTGACTGCTCAGATCGCCGCCCAATTGATCGACCTGYGTGTTGTAGCGTCGCTCSGCATTGGCACGCTCGTCTGCAATACGACGCGCCATCTCATGTTGCAGTTCGCGTACACGTTCGTGCTGCCGATCGAGCTCCTCACGCAGATGCTTCACCTCCAGCTCGGCTTGAGCACGCTCCATCTGCACCAGATCGTTTATATAGCGTTTGGATGATGTGCTGCTTGTATACTGCTCTGACTTGGCGTCATCCAATAGTTTCCGCAGCTGSCGTACACTTTCCTCAAGCGCATTCTTCTCCAGTTGCAAATGCTCGATTTGCTTGCGATGCGCATCGCAGTTATTGGTGGACGAGCTGCTCGCTGGCGCTTGTTTATGGGCACCAGCTAGCACTAGTGGGTCAACGTGTGCCAATTTGCGTTTGAGTTCTTCATTTTCCGTCTTCAAACGTTTCAAATCAATATTGGCTTGCATWAGCTCCGCCTCAAGCTCACTTATGCGCGCTTCATAGACAATATTKGGCGCCGAAGCATAACGTGGCGACTTTACGGCAGCAGACGAARTTTCTTTCTTACTACGTGGCGTCGTAGAAGTTTTCTTTTTATAATGCTGKTGTTCGTCACTGTCGGAAGAAGGACTCGTTGCRGGCAGTGTCTTATCGRCACCGCCTAACGTGGCTAGCTCGGAACGTGCGGTCTCCGTGAGGTGCGTGTTCTCGTTGATGACGTCTTTGACTTTGCCAAGTAAATTGGTTAACTCGTTGCGGCAGTATTTGGACTCTTTCTCCAGCTGTTCAATGTAGTCTTCTTGTTTTTCAATGAAATTGAAGATCTCCACCGGTGCGTGGACGCTATCAGTGACCGGCTGCGGTTGCGTTTTGTTGGGCGCGTAATAATCGTATGGTGCCGTTGCTGTTGCAGTGCTGGCCGCATATGGCATTTGCAATGTCAAATTCTCCTTCGACGACGAGAAGGCATTGAAAGGTTTCGGCTTGCTGCGTACGCCTGGACTGAGGCGTGATTTCTGTGCTGGCGACAAGTACTTCGAGATATCCGAATACACGGGACGTTCGATGACCTGTGTTTCGAGATAGAAATATGTTAGTATATATAATTAGGCATAAACTGCATTTAAATGTAGGCTTCGAAAACCGAAAATGCTTCTGAAAGGAATAAGACAAAAATAAATGGCGTGAAAATTATTGCGTGATGAAGCTCAGTTCTTAATTAAGATGTGGTTAGTCCAAGCAATGACAGATATGAAATTAAAAATACTAAAGAGACTAGCAAATCCTTGTTGATATTCAATAAACSGCGCCGTCTACATATGTTTTCAGCTTTAGGCATTCCACCAATATTTCTTGAAAATCTTTCTGAAGCAATATAACTCCAAATTCCTTACATAAATCTGTGGATGTTATGCCGAGGTGCATAAGAACTTCTTCTGTGTCTAAATAATAGTATGAACTTGTGAAACGGTCTGATGACCTTCTTCTCTGAGAACCAACTAAACCTCAGAACCCTTTCCAGTAAGACCATTTGCTCCAAGGTTATAATATTCAAGTCTTGCTAGTTGTTGAGAGCAAAGAGATATAATATGAATAGAGTTTGTGGAGAAAGTTGACGAATTGAGATGCAAATTTTATTCGCATTGCAATCCAAGGATGATATTTGAATATGTAGGTAATAACTTGATATTCGAAAACCAGAAAATCTGGGTCTCTTCATACAAAATATTGAACACTAATTACTCAAGATTTTTTTTATAAAAAAAGGCTTTTCTTCTTTGAGATCAAAAGCTAGTGCCGCCTTGAGTACGATTAAGTGAGCACAACTAGACTAGTAATTCAAAGATCATTTGATAAAAATTTGCTCCACTGYAACCAGAATTGCAACCCAACATTTTTGGTTCGTCGAGTTTTTTACTCACAGCTGTTGCGTACGAAATCTTCGTCTCCGATCATCACCAATTGCATTCTAACTAACAATCCAATTAGATATTTTGCACTGCAGGAAAAGTTCAATGCACTWCCACGYCACACCAATTAGACAAATTGCCACAYTAAATTTGCACCCAAAATACCTGTTTTCATACTCACCGACAAGTTGTCCGAGTAGTTATCGGTCGAGTCCTCATTCACGTGCCGCATATACGCCCCCGAAGCGCCATTGCAGCCAGCAGCAGAACCAGCGCCACCTCCTCTGCTGGGCGGGGCATATGATTCGGCCAACATTAGCTTCAGCCGGCTAACRGCCTCATTATATGCATRGTTCGTATAATCCATCGGTTTTGRTTTCTTGTGCGCCGCACTYTTGGACGACTTCATTGGTATGTGCCTAAATGTTTTGTGCGCAGAAAGAAAGTTGCATTAAAACTTTGCCAAAATAAATTTACTTTATCACATTTTGTTGAGCAAAAATGTTTCTCTTTTCTTTTTGTTGTGAACTTCTAACGCTTTTTCCGTCCGCATTTTTCACACCGTGTGTGGCATGCCACGCATTCTAAGCAACAACTAAAGTGTGGCGAACACAGCAAGGACTACGGAGTCCTGCCACCGTGCACATTCAGTTCGGTAGGCCGCCACAATTCCGCCCCTAAAACACCGCAAGTAAAGTTGGAATTCCCTGCTTTTCTTTCCATTTGGAAGTTGTGTTATTTTACATTGTTCTGTGTTATTTTGTTTTGTGTTCGTTCGTTGCTATGGCACTTTCTGATTGGGAAATTAACCTGTTTGAAACACATGGGTGCAATTGTGCCAGTTTTATTGTTTTGGTTTTTTCTAAGTTTGAAGCAAAAAGTGCATTTGGTGGTTGGTTTTTAGTTGCTTCTTTTAGTTTGAAGTTTTGGTTTTGGTGTGTGTTTTTTTTTGGTTGGTTGATTTGGTTACGTTTGAGTGCGTGCTGAGCGCACATTAATTCGAGTGGCTGCAATTTTGGGCAGTTCTACAAAATTATTTTCAATCCTTTTTAATGAAATTTCTACAAAGGCAGGCAGTATTTAAACTCTTTCGATTCAATTTTTCAACACTTCGCAAGAATTTGAAGACAACAAAACAAATATTGAATGAAGAAATAATTTATTGAAAAACATTAAAAGTAATGATTATGGAAAAAAAAACAAGAAAAGTGTTGTAAATATTAATTAAAAAATTTATTTAATTTAATTTTAATTTATTTAAAATTTATATGAACTGAAAAAATATAGAAAGCACTTTTCAAAAATTAATAAATAAAAAATGTATTTTATTTCTGAAACTTAATAATTAATATATACAAAATTGAAACATTACATACGATCGCCTAAAACGACTCAGATCGTCATACCGACCATTTACGTATATATATAGTATATAAATATATTATATGTATATGCCATCCAAACTGAACGATCGGAATCAAGTAGTATCAAGTCTTGTATGAAAATGCTACCATAAAAATAAATGATCAGAATCAAGTTCTGAATATGTATATAAACGTACTCTTATAAATTTAATTTTAAACTCGAGGTGGTGGGAAAAATCTCTGTAAGAGCAGCACCGCTCGCATATATATGAAATAATAAATCTCCGAATCTACTCAAACTAATTTCAACAAAATTCATTCATCTTGAGACCCAGCATTCATTATTGGATAATATTCGACCGAATAGACAACGTCCAGCACGCAGTCAAGAAAATATAGCAGCTGTAGCTGGGAGTGTACACAAGGACCATGGAGAGTCGATTCGGCGCCATTCGCAGCAACTCGGACTGGCGAATGAAACGACTTGGCGCATTTTATGTCAAGATCTTAAATTGAAAGCGTACAGCTTGAGCAAAAACTGAAGCCATTCGACCCTCCCCAGTGACATCGCTTTGCCCTATGGACTCTTGAAAAGTTCCAAGAAGATCCAATGTTTTCGAGCCACATTTTGTTCAGCGATGAGACCCATTTCTGCCTTAATGGGTATGTAAACAAGCCAAATTGCCGCATTTCGGATGAAGATATTCAAGGTCTGCCATTTCATCAAGAAAGAACAACGGCTTGGTGTGGTTGGTGGGCCGGTGTAATCATCACATTTCATCAAAAATTATGTCAGTAAGAACATAACCGTCAATGGCTACCGTTGTCGCGTCATGATAACCGATTATTTGATGTCTGAAATTGAAGCTCGTGATCTCATTTTGATGAAAACAAGACGGCGCCACTTCTCATATAACGAATCAATCAATGGATTTATTGATAGAACACTTCCGTGAGCAGATAATTTAACGTTTTGGGCCGGTCGATTGGCCACCAACATCGTGTGATTAGAGCTTTTCCTGTGAGGATATGTAAAGTCTAAAGTCTAAGCGGAAATGCTCGAACGTGTCATCAAAAATTGTACTCAACGTATGGACCATCTGAGACGTAGTTGTGGCCAACATTTGAAAGAGATACCCTTAAAAAAATAAATGCCAAAAAATGATTTTTCGATTGATAATAAACACTCATTCCATAAAATTTTAAGTTTCTGTGTGTTTTCTTTAAAACAGTAGGGAACCTCGAAATGGATCACCCTATATATGTATAGCGACTATAGTTCAAGAAATTGAGACAGCTTTTTTTTTTTAATAGCAGCGTATTTTTCTGTCAAAAATTCATAATATCGACTGAAATTCTGTACTGAGAACTTAGCCCTTCCTTACTGGTTTGCTTTACATATTAACACCGAATGATATTGAGTTTTTTTAATGGAGCTCTTGGTTTCATACCTCACTTAATACTATATTTTGGTCCTCTAATACGATGTTGAGTTTCTATAACAGTCGGAATTAAGTAATCAAAAACTTTATATTCGACCGAGGATTCTAAACCCTGCAGTACTTCCCAGAGTAAATTGGGAATATACATATTTAATATGACCCCATATGTGAAAATATTTCTCAATAAATATTTTTTCAATAAAAAATTACACGTAGTTAATTCAACATATTCAACCGTTAATATTTTTGATGTGAGCTGTCTTCGATCGCCAAGCGCTACTCTTCAGCGAATCGAATGATGCCCCACATACTCAATTAAACGGGCGGTACTTGTGGTGCAACTCTACGCTAATATGTCGCGTAAAACTCTTTGCTGTAACTTTTTTTGTATATTTTTTTAATTACTATGATTTTAAGTCTTACTTTTTAGAAGTTTAAGGAAAGGAAATTCGCATTTTCATTTGTAATTTGTACCATTCATTGAAGATACGGGTATAGCACTTTGATGAAGGACTCGCATACTCTCTTGTATGAAATCAACTCGATAACTTTGCTCTTGTTGCTGCTTTTACATGTATTTTTTATGAAAAGAGAGCAGAAGCGAGCCGCGAAATGGCGCATCGAAAATGGCAAATGTTGAAAAACTCGCATGATGTAGAAACCAAGTTCACTTTTTTGAATAAATAAGGGGTTACATGGGTTTTCGGGTTTAAAAAATATCAATTTTTTGTTGCTTTATTAAAATCTCTAGAACATTGTTCTAAATTTTCAGATTGATCCGAGCAATAGTTTCGGAGATACGCCTTTAAGAACTTGTGCGCTCGAGGCTAGCTGGCTAAGTGTGCCGTTTTTAAACGCGTTTTTCTCCAAACTGTGATTTTGAAGTCCGTTGTTAAGATTGCTCGAGAACTACTTAACCGATCTTCATGAAATTTTACACAGGTCTTTGAGACACTACAATTCTTAAAGGCGTGACCAAAGGATTTTTTTCGAGATCAATTGAAGAAAAAAAATTTCCCGCAATTTTCACTGAAGTTTTAATTTTTATATTTTTTATTTTTTTTTCTTTTATTTTTTTCTAAAAATGTCTGCCACAAACTCAATTTTCAGTTTTAATTACAACACGTACTCTCTAAATTTAGATGATGCTATGAGGTGCTATCCAGCCAACGCGGGAGCATCTTTTTTCCGTGGAGTCACCGGACATGGCGTCATAATGGCSGAGTTTAAAATATTTTTTYCAAAAAATTTCAGTATTTATTTGTTAATAGCGWATGTTTGYAATAATAAAAAACTCAAATAAAATWWTTAATTTTTTATGTGTGAAAAAAATTGTTTAAAAAGGGCTGTTTTTTACCCGAAGTAATCCATGTAACCTCTTAAGTTATTCTGGAAAATGAGCGCACCGAATATTTATTAAGTGAAAGCGTTAATACATTTTCATTGACATTCCTTATTACTTGCGAAGTAATTTGTTTCTCAGTTAAGAAACGTAAATTTTAAAAGATTTCGCTTTGTTTTACTTTCTTCATGAGCCAAACTTGCAGTCTGAATATTTTTAAAAATTATTTCTTTTAACATTTTACACAGTTAATTTCCTAAAAACACATATTTTTTTTTATTGAAATTAATAGCGAGCTTGCCTTGTACGCTGCCGYTTGCCGCCGATGCGCGAACTACAAACACTATCCTTATCCGAATGGCCGCACGATGAGCGCCGCCGACGCGTAACGTGATCGCTGCTCAGCAGTTGCGAAACGTATGACTGACGTTCGCTCTGATTGAGGTTAGTTAAGGCAGTGAAGAAATTTTCCGACTTCATCTTCAGCAATGCAGTGTGGTGTAGCCGCTAACGAGGCGCGAGTATGTGGTGAACATTTAGCGTTATGCCTTGGATCGGGTGTTAGGGAGACTCGGAGCAACTTKACTTCGCAAAAAGTTTACTTGTGCTCAACTATTGTTRTTGTATGTAATATGTGGTTTAATAATTTGACATGCAATGTTGGCGCAAAACATACAAAGCTTTGCGAAATGTAACAATTGCAAAGGGGAGCGAGGCAAATGCCAACGGACGTGCACTGCCACTTCCTTCCGGTGTGTGGTGTAAATTGTTTGTCAAGAACTTTGTAGACGCGCTGCGAGACGAGACGTTGTAACTCGCTCGTTTTCACGCTGATTTGCGCGTCAAAAGTGTAAAGGCTGCGGTCATTTAACCCGTCCGATTCATTAATTGTGCTTTGTATTTGTGATATTATTAATTATTTCTGTTTGCTTGTGGTCGCTCGGGCGCGCGCGCTCAACTTCTAATTTAGACGTTTAACTGAAACGGCGACAGCGTTGGTGGGCCGCTTTTATAGCTTCGCTGTGATATGCAATGCTATGTTGTTATTGTGCGGGGGCTTCGGTTGCGATGGAACCCATACTAAAAACAAAAATGTCCTGTGTAGCGGTAATAAATAGTACACAACCGGAAAGGAACAATAAACGCAGGAGCTTTCACAAATTTTTATGGGTTTCGTGCCATGTAGTGGAAAATAAGCAAAAAACCAAATCAAACCAAACAAATAGCAGCAGAAGCTAATAACATTCCTAAGCATAATTTG